GCTTATGATTTTTATCTTATTAAAGCACAGACAAATATTTGGCAGTTTTTAGAGTCAAACTAGCTCTAAGAGTCTTAACTGGCTACGTTTCAAATAAGTAGGGGAAAATGCCATGATAAAACCCACAAAGTAGAAATCATGTTCAATAAAACAAGCTCTTCCTGAATATTGCTCATGATAGACAACCCATACAAAAAACCCCCTCATTCTTGTATTCAAGAGCTGATAAATGTTCTGACAGAAAGAGCTGCAGACAGAAAGAGCAAGAACAATTACTACTTCCCTTAATTAAGACGACCCCAGGTAGACTTTCTGTTCCTTCCCAAGCCCTCCGTCACTGCCATACAGTCAGAACAGAAATACAAACCCTCAACTCCTCCATCCTGCACACTCTTCTCTCGAACTCCCAATTCACATAGCACGGAAACAGAAGCAGAAACACCTGGACTAGTCAACTGCTCATGGACTGCAGACCACTGGACATCGACAGCCTTTGAGAGAGACATTTTCCATTTAAAAGTTATACGTATGGCGACAGATGCCCCCGTGTGCCCCGCATAGGCTGCAGGTCTGAACGACTTCCCAAGGCAGGCGAGCTCCGAGAGCAGAGCGGGAGCCGATGCTTTGCTGATGAAACCAACTTTTAGTCACAAAGGAAGAGATGTAACGCCAGCAAACAGCAGACACAGCCTGTGCGCGCGGCGGGTGGGGCAGGGCAGGGCGATTTGCTGGAGCCAGTAAGGCAGGCTGCATTCAAAGTTGGGGATTAAAATAGAAATGCATTTGAGAGCGGTTTTGAGACAACCCCGCTTTCGACTGAAGGAAAGCTCCGTACGGGTGGAATCTTATAGGGATGCCTTGAGAACTAAAAGCCCTTGCAAATTACTAAGTTTTACATTTAAAAGGTAAGCAAAGCAGTGAGAAGTCAGATACACTTCATCACAAAACTCTCTTTGTTCTTTCGACACGTCTTTCAGCTGCAAAAGGTAATGGATTCCTTGTAAACATCTCTGCAGAGCTGGGCAGCACACCTCACAGAAGCAGAGCACGGCCATGAGAGAGAGTTACAGGGTATTCAGACCAGCAAAGTCTGCCACTGCTGAAAACATAATTTCTCCATTTTTCATGGCTGTTAAAGACTCAAACCATAAAGGCAACATGAGCCAGGTAAATGTCTAACTGAAATGATTTACAGGCCAATGTTGCACAATAAATCCAAGTAATATGTAACAAAAGGCATCTATAAACCACAAGGTACTTAACTAATTTTCTTTCATACGCAAAAGCAAGCTTAGGTCAAATACTGATAAAAATGAAGAGGATGAAGAAAAATACCTAGTTTAGATGTTTAGGGGGAGAGTTGGGTTTCTTCTGTTTCTTTATAAGCAGAAGTTAATATAAATCTGCAGAAATACCATGCTTAATCACTACAATTGCTTGAGGAGGTGCCTGCAGCACAATGAAGACAAGTCCAGACAAAATAAGGTACACACGCTATGCAAAACTAATGTCTGCCATAAATGCTATGTGGTACAACCACCACCCAAGATGCTACTGATCTGCAGTATGATATTTAGTAAAATAATGAAGAAAAAATTAAAAACAACTGTTAAGGTGAAAGTAAGAAGGCAAGGAGTGATACCAACCAGGGGAAAAAAAAAAAGCACGTGTTGGACGATTAGCAGGAAGAAAGCAGTGAGTGTGAGGAAGGGAACTTAAAAGCAGACAACCAGTTTGGGAAAAAAAAAAAATCATCAAGAAAGGCTGAGACTACACCAAAAAACTAATTCTGTAACTTGTACGAGACAGACACCACCACCTCCCTTAGCAGGATCCTCTCTGGCAGAAAAACACAGCCTCGTTGCAATTTAGCACACTGCAGCACCACCGAGTCTGTAATAGTTTTTCAATTGGACACATTCTCCTCTATACCCTGCCTGGGGCTGCTCAGGAGAAAATGAACAGATTTGCAGGGTTAATATTGTAGTTAGGCTGGGACCTCATTCAGCATAGCTGCGATAGCTCTGGCTGCATGAAATGGTAGAAGAATGTGTAGTATAAACATCACTGCCAGGATGGGAGATAGGTCAAAGGACTGTGGGCATTTTACAAGGAAAAAATAAAATACAAGAAAAGGGAACCAAATTTTCCAAAAATGAGACATAACCAAGCTGCCATTTACACAATTTACCTACTAAAACTCCCAAGAAATAAAACCGCTTTATAATAAAACCTTTTGCTTTCTTATTTCACCCTCCTCCTTTTCAACATCCCCCCTTCAAGTTACCTGCATTTATTGTGCCTCAAGAAACAACGCCCATCTGCTCAATGTTTAGATATTAAATACAATAATTCTAACCTTGTTCCAGCCTTAGCTCACAAAACACATTTCACTGGATAAAACCAGTTCACCACTGTTTTGGAGACCACTTCGAAATGAGCAATGGTATTTCTCTGTAGTTGCCCCAGAGAAATTAAAGCAGAAAGCGGATTTGAGAACCAAGTGCTTAAATAAAACAGATTCTTTTATGTGGCATAATCCACTAGCACAGCCACAGTACAGAAAATCACCATCCAATGGGTACAGCCTTAAGATCACTCTGAAATTTAACACATCAGAGTCAAATCATTGCACTAGTTAACTCACTGTATTGGTGGGTCATCTATGGAAAGGATAACACGGGGCAAACAGTCTCTCTGAAGGAACGTGCGTTTCTTCAGAGCTTGAATTGGATTACTGCAAACATGTAAGTGAAAAAGCTTAGGTAAAAAGTGGCTAGAACAAGGACCTGCTGGTAAATTAAGCTTCTACTACCTAAAGCGATTACAAATATAATTCCTTAGAAACAGTTACAGGAGAAGAGAATCAAGTCATAGAAACTAAAGTCAGTGGGATCTAGCAAGCTATCTAGAACAGCTGACAACAAAAAGGATCAAAAAGCTCTTCAGAAGCCTTTCTTGGTGTGCTTGGTGTCAGGCAGGTGAGGCTTGCACCCAGGAAGAGTTTATAGCCCAGCCATGGCTGTTCCCACACGGGAGATCACAGAGTTTTTTTGTCTGCCTCAGGAACCGCACCAACTTTATTCACAAGTGGGACACAAAGTACAGCTAGCGCCTGTGCAGGCTGCATGGGCAGCGACCTTCCTGATTTGTCAACAGTCCCTTTTTCACCTGGTACTTTTTCTTCTTAAATATTTTAATGTTTACCCTACAAAAAAATCACAGGTTTTACAACAGTTCCCATGGACCAAAATACTTCAAATACACTGTAAAACATTTATCATTATTAGTACTTAAAGATTATTTTTTTTCCCTAACAACTTTAAAAAAAAAAAAAAAAAAAAGCAGGTTTAGGGAATTAAGGTCAAATAAAACTTTTCAGTTTTGGCTCAGCATACAGAAATACTGCTCTGTTAGAGCAGTTTGAGGCTTCTCCACTTTCTTGCTGATATTTAAAGGAGTCTTTTAACAACAAGCAGTTTGTAGGCCCAGGTCTTTTGAGTATACCTGAACCTGCTTCTCATTTTGTGCTCTAGGCAAACCTTCCCGTAGGCTCAACAGAAGCAAAAGCAGTCCTGCTTGAACTCCTCCCTGGGATTTAAAAAAATCCTTAGGATTTTGAAGTCTTTCTACCAAAGGGGACTGAAGATCATGGAAGAGAGCTTTCAGATCTCTTCTCCTCTCTGCCTTTTTCTTCTATACCACCTTCTCCCTAACTCCATTCAAGAAAATTGTTAAAGAGTAAGCCTTTACATCTGGGTTGAAAAAACACAGTAGCTGTAGGGCTGAGATGCACACCTATGCAACTGGTCTACCAAAGAACAACATCATAGGAACCATGTCAATCTTCTGGTAGCAAGGTAGAAGAAACAAGAGATGTCTGAAGAACTCCAGTTATTACAATGTGCTGTTAAGTGTACAAAAATCAAAGAGACAGGAGGCTTCCTCCTCCCCTCAAAGTATTAGCTCATGTTAGACTGCTATGATTAGCAGTGGTTTCAGAAGTGTTATTTACACTCTGTGGTCTTGAGTAAAGTCATTCCAGTTCCCTTCTTAAGTCAGAAACCTTGACAAAACCCATGCCACTACAAGACAACCCAAGCTCACTCACAGGAGGACCGACATTCAAGTACAAAACATCTACTTGACTCACTGCACTGTGGGGATCATTTTAGGTTGCGGGTCAAGTCATTGCTGGCTGGGGTTCCTGTAGCCAACGTCCTCCCCGTGGGCCAGCCCAGTTCAAGCAGGTGCTACTCAATACACTGTAGCTCTGGCCTTTGTATCAAATTCTAAAATGACCAGGCGCTCCTTGTCACAGCCCATGCAATTACAGCTGAAAAACCTCAAAATTAGACATTGCAAACTCTTGCGTTTTTTGGGGGGAGGTGAGTACAAGCTTGTCTTATCTAGTCTAGACATTTGAGACAATCATGCATATTCTAAAGCATCAAATCTGTCTGTATGCGTTCTCTTTTTTCACAACAGAAAGACATGAGAGATGTTTCTCCTCACAAAAGCTTGGTGCCCAGGAACAGCTGGCAACAGAAGTTAGCACACCCACATCAGCCACTTCCAGCAGAAAAGTCTCCTCTGAATACATACATCTCACTGTACAGGGAATGAATCCAAACAGTGAACAAACTTCCGAAGTTGGAGACAAATCCCTTTTCCTTCAGTACAAAGCAGAAATCACCTGAGTATCATGGACAACTATGCTCCTAACTCTGAAATAAACAGCTGGCTGATGCTTAGGAGTGCCTGTGGGATCTGGGAAAGCCCAGTTCAAGTCCTTCATCCAAACCAGGAACATTAGGACTACTCTCACATTTGGCTCCCACCCAAGTGTCCCCATTCTGAGGATATGCTTTTTCAAAACAAACATTTCATTAAAGATTAAAAAACATAATCATGATCATGTCTCACCACAATGCTTAAACAAGTACCCCCCACTTTTTTTCAATTCAGCAAGAACAGTCGCCACAACAAAGAGTCTGGAGAAAGCATTTATTCAACATAAACAATATCAGTATAGTACAAAGAGCACTTCTGGAAGGTGTAGCAAGCAGACAGATATACAGAGCTATGCATCCAGGAATCCCAGGTGCTTGTCCTGCTGGAAGGGAACAAAAATCCCACCATGGGCACCTCTGTGGGCTGGCGAGGTCTTCACACCAAATTCTCTGGCTATGGCACGCTGCATCCACAGATGACACGAGCTTGTGCTGGCCCCTCTGACAGAGCCCTGCGAGGTGGTCAAAGACAACCACGTGCACAACACAGAGCGTGCAAGCTGCATTTTGGTCTCTGAAGGCATGTGTGTCACTGCGGTGCCTCCTCTTCACCTTCGCTCTGAAGAGCCCAGAAGCACAAAGACGTTGCCCAGATCTTTGGCAAAAAGTCTTTACACATGAGCACATCCATGCTTTTTCTTCTGCTTCTTCACCCTTACACCGATGGCTGGTAGCTCTCCGAAGACATGGTTGGGCTGTACTGGTGCCACTGGTTCTGCCAAAACAAAGAAATTGCAAATTGTTTTCCCTAGTGAAAATATGCCGATTGCACTGTCATGTTTTGCCTTTCATCAATATAATCCAACTGCTCTTTCCCCTCACAGCTGCAAGCTTTAGGATTGCTGATTCTGAACATTACGAATTATGTTTATAAAGCAAAACTCCAAAACAATTGAGTACCACATGAGAAACAGGCCCAAAACACTATCAGCTGCAATTCAGTGCCACAGTAAGACAAGATGCCAGGTCGCCTGAGACACAGCAGTAGTACAAGAGGTAACATTTTAGACCTCTGGAGTAAAAGCCTCATTTTAAATCCCGACTGTCTGGCAACATGCGACAGAAGGTCAAATTACTGTATGCAAGACAATCAAATACAATGGACAGCTTGAGACGTAGGAAGCTTTTCTTGAGATGCTGAGGCACCCAAGCACAACAGAATACCTACTACTACACCAAGCAGCTGCTCACTCCTCCTACCACAAGTGCCATGCTTGTAGCACTCGATGTTATTTGCAGAAATACATGCAGTAATGAATTTTAGAAAGGTGGATGCCACAAGGCTTCCTGAGAGAGGGGACAGAGACGCCCAGAGGGGTCCGTCATAGCGAGGGTGTAAGGTATAGGCCACCACGAAACAAAGCCCTGGATGAAACCCTTTCCTGGAGGTGCCAGGAACCATGTTAAGCTGTCTTCTGTATCCTGCAATAGCACAAATACAGATCAGGCCTACAAAGATGACAACGTCTTGTCACTCCAGAGTGACTGTAGTAGTGGTGACTGAAGCACTTACCTGACGGGACAGTTTTCACTGCTACATCCTTCTTGTCCCAGAGGCACTGGCCCCAGGGTGGAGCGCCGATCCGGCCCCTCAAGACAGGGGTCCCTGGCTCCACATCCCACATGCTGGCTGCTCACAGCTGCTGCCTCCTCAAGATGCTGGTGCTGCTGAGCACTACAGCCACTCAATGATGCAAGTGCTGGAGAGATTGTGGTTGCATTTCCTCAGTAAAATGAATCTTGCTGGGATTTCATCAGAGCTGATCAGGACCTAGAATAAATGCCACAGGTGCAGAGAACCAAATTGCAAGGCAAGGGGCTGAGGGGAGGAGATATTTGTGCTGGATGGAGAGAGTTGCCTACCTAAAGACGCAGGACAGTTAAAAATGCCCTTGGACAAGAACTTGAAGACACTTTGAGAATCCCAGAGCCCAGTAGCTGAGTCTGCAGCACATAGCTATCTTCGGCAGAATAGCTCTAACCATCACCAGAAACCGGGCACTGAGACCTTCAGAAAAAAGTCTCTAATTAACTGGAGGAGAAAGATTTAGGGATAAGGGCAGGAGTCAAATGAAGACCTGTGCTTATACCAGTACAGCAGCAAAGGCAGTCCAAAGTTTGGAAGAGGTCAAGTTTACAGAGGCGGGATGTATCTTCTCAAGTGCTTATAAACTTCTCTGAAGATCCCCCTAGGACTTGAAACTGCAGACAAAAGTTAAATACCACCCTCAAGATATTCTATAAATTTGTACTCTTTATGGAAGATTAACTCAGCCCCTTGCTTGTTTGGGTAAGCAGTGCTGAGGTCAGCCCAAATGTTTTCATTTATTAAATTCAGGCCCTGCAAATAAAGCACTGTTCTTCTGCACTGCCTACCCATGCCTTGCTGTGCACGCCCTCTACGCTTTGGTCAAGCAAGTGGTACATGTGGCTGACATGGGACAAGACTTAAGCCCATAACGCAAGCAGGATCTTTGGCATATATCCAACCACTGCACTATTAAAAAAAAAATAAATCCACATATAACTTGGGGGTCCAGCTCAGACTCACTACCACCGAACACACATAGTTCCCACTAGCTACTTTGGCTTTCACAAAGGAAGTAGACAACTTCTACGGTCTTCAGACATACTGATTCGATTCTCACTCAGTAAAAGCGACCATGTAATTTACAAGCAAAACTGGATTTGAAAGCTGCTCTCAATTACTGCACAGCAACACCACTGCCCACCTGACACTGTATAATCACAGGGTGTTTATCCCAGAATGCAGCAGGCAAAAACATCCCCTAACCACGCTGGAGGATGCAGTGTTTAGACGCAGAAGGACATTGGACCAAAGGTCAACAGACCTGCTGTGCTGCTTCTAATGGTACCCTATGATAGGAGCAGACTGGATACCTGGCATTTCAGGCTGCTTGTTCCACCAGGAGCTTGTCTGTTCTGCACCGGTTTCTACTCAAACTAGCAATAAATTTGATTTAGGAGTGATCAAAAGGAAGCATAACTCCCCAGCCTGAGCCTTCTGTAACTGGACATGCCCAGCTCAAAATATTTCACGATGTGTATAGCAAAGCACCTCAGTGACCTTCACTCAGCTTGCTTTATTCTCACAGGCAAAAGGGGGATCCTGCCAGATACTGCAGAAACTGTTACAAACCAGTACGTGCCAAGAGATCCCCCAGTCTGAGCAGAGAAAGGCTGCAGTCATTGTGGACACTTTTTAAAAAAAAAACAAACCAACAAGGAAATGCTATTAAAAACATGAGCAGTCCCTGGGAAAGAGGCTGCCAGGTCTGAAGAGCCTTTAGCAGCCTGGAAGCCCTGCCCACAACACTACAGCTGATACAAAAGTCTTTGCTTCTGCTGCCCTGAGGACAGTTTCATTTACTTTCCTTTAAACCTGGAAAATAGGTTGCTTTTCTTCTCTTACCTCTATCAAACCTCAGGTTGCTTTTCTTCTCTTACCTCTATCAAACCTCAGGTAGCAGAAACAACATAAATTTACCTGTACTTCATAGGAGAGCAAGCACACAAAGCAAGTTTCACCTTTTGGCAAAGGACAGAGATGACAGACCCGTTCTTCTCTGTACAAGACTTCATTCACTCCAGTGAGCAGCATCGATCCAAATACCCTGGGACCACTTCATCTTTGCTGAGGTGTGGCCTGCCACTGCCTCTGCAGATAACACATATATACTCTGGGGCTCCATACAGAGTCTATGCCTCCTTCCCTGAAAGAGGCAGCAGCTCAGGCAACTCTTTCCAGACCCTGGGGAACAGCCGAGCCCTGAGAAGCAGACAGCTCCTGTTACCTCCATGAAGTAAGGAGGATCTCCCAGCTCATCTCCTGCACTAGCGAAGACAGGTGTGCAACAGCCACCTCCACCCAATGCATGCAGGTGGGGTTCAGAGCAGGAATGGACACAGGAAGGGACAGGGGCACTGGAATCCATCTTCCAACTGTTCTCAGGTGGATGCCTCATAGGTTGAGATATAATGTAATTTTTAGTCAGACTTCTCACTCAAGTGTTGTTGCCTTTTATCCACTTCTAGCAGGCACTCTGAGCTTATTTTGTAAGAGTCTTTACATAAGAAAAGGACAAGCTAAAAAAAAAACACCACTCCCTCCTGGATTTAGAAGGAAAAGATGTCTGTTTGCCAGAACCATGCTGGTACATTTGAATGCAAAGTTAAACAAATCCTTAAAGATGGTGTCAAAATCTGAGTGGGAAAGAAACCAACTGGTTACATCTTCTCGGACCGAGTCTGCAATTTGTCCGATAATCTTCTGGTGAGAAGCAACACCAAAAAACAAGCATTGCTAAAATCTGTCTGTTTTGTTTACAAGTTAAGATCCTATCAGTAGTACATGAATAAAGATTAACATCTTGAATTGCAGTCATATCTGAAGATTTTAAAGACCCATAAAAATGCAGACTTCAGTGGGATAACTGAAAGATCATCATGAACTGTCAGAATTTGAGAAATGGGCTTTTCTTCTTTAGTTTTGATTCACAAACTGAACGAAAATAAGCCCACACTGCCTTATTTGAAGTTAATTTACACTCCAGTTTGAATAGCACCTGCCCTTGGGTATGTTCCAGAAGAACATCTACCTTTCCACAAAGGGAGGCTAACACCCATTGTAAAACTTCCAGAGGCACATTAGATGTCTGTTCCCCCCCCAGCAATTTCACCCTTAGAAGTAGAAGGAACGCTGCCAGTTACAGCCTGTGCTGAGGAAACATGAGTTATAATTTTACCCTGGGAAAATTGCTGAACTGGGAGCTTCTGGTGTGGCATAGGTCTTGCCTTCGCAATCCAATGGTTCTTTTGATTCAGAGGCTTTGAAAGGGTGGTGATGAAAAACATAGCCTCTCCCTTTGAATCAGCCAGCCGCCTGCTTTCCTTTGCACTTTTAAAATTTGGTTTATTAATTTGCCTAGGAGAGAAAGAGATAATACTGACCCATCTAGAGGAGATGTGTTTTTGGACATATCGACAGAACATTATCTACTTCAGACTGAACATGCAAACAGCAAAAAAACACCTTTGGACTATTTCAAGAATTTTATGTATAGAATCACCTTACCAGGCTTAAGAGAAACACAAGAAAGCCTCTATTAGCTCTTCCTGCCATATGAAGAAGAAAAAGGGACAAATTTATAAGGATCCGATAAAACTGTGTCTTTGAAATGTTATAACACACAAGAGTTCTACGTGCTCTCCAGATGTTTCTTGCATCAACCAATAATACAATATTCTCAGACGGAATTGTAATTTTGAAGACATTGCACCCACTTAGTAATTATGAGACTAGACAATAAAACAGATAGACAGCTTCATCTATAACCTAACTGCAGAAAAAAGGCACAAAAGGGCTTTAAAGCCATACATTTGTAATTATCTAATTTATGATGTAGATGTAAACAGAACTGTAATTTTGATAGTTAGAATTCAGGCTGGTAGAGAATTAGAAATACGGTGTGAAACTGTAATCCTAAATTATACACCCCTCACTCCAGTCTTGATATAATGCAATGCTATGGGTAAAAAGCACTTTCAGGATCCCTACATCACTGCTGCATTTTCCTCCTCTCTCCCATCCACCTCCCCTCCCAGCAGGTCTCCAAAACTGAATGTAGCAAAGCAACAACCTCTCAAAAATTATAATCTACTGAAACACCACCAGAGGTAGAGAGACTGCCAAAGAGGGAGGACAGTGCAAGGAAAGGGTAAAAGCTGAACTTACTGAAATGACAGGCTTTTTGGAAGTCCTTGTTAAGACAGACTGCAATAGGGAGCGTTTACTCAACTCTAGCTCGATCCCATGCATTTTCAGGGCTGGCTGGGACTTTTTCCTCTCCTCCTGTAACTCCCATTAAAATTATCAGCCTACAGATTTCATAACAAGCAGGAGAATGAAAAAGCTTAAACACTATCACGAGAGAAATCGTATTATCATTAGCTATTTCAAAACGCACATGGGTTACTTAACACCTCGGGACAGTCGGCACAACACCACACAGGTGCTCCCAATGCAGGGACAGGGAACAGCCTCTTGATAAAAATACACGTACGAGGCAGCACACAAAGATGAGTGCCTCCCCAGAGCTCTGGAAATGGGCTACCCATGCAGCACACGGGACCTGAACCAAAAACTGTCAGTGACCCAGATACTTCCCTACCCCCGCACCATACTAAAATCTGTCCATCTTTGGATTTTAAATCCCTCTGAGAAGTAGGTATGCTTTTTGGTGTCTGGTAGGAAGGGGCTTAAATCCTGAATTTAGTTTAATACAGCTGTGGTTAAATTCAAAAGTCTCCTTTAATGCAGTAGCGCATTAAAGTTTTTAGTTCAATTTACCTCTTTTCTGGTGTTCAAAGTTTTCTTAAATGCTGGGAAAGCATTTAGGGATGAAGGGAGAAAAGGAATAGTGGGCATATGACTATGGGGGTCAAGCAGCAATTTTTCTTGGTTAGTGCAAAGGGCAGGATTTGAGGAAAGGAGAACACAGCAGTCTGCTCTGGAAGGCAAGAGTAGTGTTTGGCAAGATGATGACCATATGGCATATGAACAAAGCATATTTTAGATTTGGTTCATTCAATTCCATTATGTGTAAAAGATACTTTTGGGTCCAAGGCTAAGAAATACAATTTTGATTATTATTGTTTTCAGACCTGTATGGATTTCTCTAAGCAGTCATTGTAGCTCATATGATAAAAACATCCATTTGGCAGCTAATTTTAGCATTTTTTGCCCACAAGACTGGATTAACCCTGAATCTATATATTTGTGTGCTGTACGCTAACAGAAGCCATCACTGCAACCACCAACCTTCTGAAGCAGTAATTCACTATCTAGTTGTAGACAGAATGACTTCTGCTAACTAGGTCACCAAACTCTTTATTTTATATTAAAAGCCTTTTACTTGACCTGACACCACAACAGACCGTGCATATAATCTCAGAATAGTGTATTTGATCTTATACAACATACATTTCTTTGGACAGCATGGCCTGCTTCTAAGTCTGCGTTTGTGCTTCTCTGGTCATTACTAACATGCAAAGCACCAGTGCCTGGACAACAACAGGACCTGTAAATGTTTAAAGAAGCAGAAAAGACTATGCCTGTTAATCAACAAGAAATGCCTATCTCACTTTCTCTAGCCATTGGCTTTTATTGCCTCCAATGTACAATGTATTTCAATAAAACTGAAAAGCAAGAAAGACACATTAACATAAACTGATAGTACTGATACAGCCGTGTTATGACACAGAAACCAAAACCAGAGAAGAATCATATCATTAGATGCTTCTGAGGGGCAGCTCAAAAATAAAAAGGCAAATGGCAGCTTGAAGAACTCTTTT